AAAAAAAAATGGTTGACGATAGAAAATTGCGACACATGTCCAACATGAATAGTGCCCTAAATTAGCCTCTTTTATAGTAGTAATATTTCCTCCTTTAATTTGTTGGATGCTTCTAACCCCATAAGTTGAATAATGTTATCTCTCCATTGTGACAATCCTCATGTAATGTAGTAGATGATGAGGCATGAAATGGTAATGTTAATTAAATGTATGCATATGAGACTATTTTTTTTTATTGAGCTTATCATTTAACACTGGATCTTCTTCGATGGGGTAGATAGCATTGTTCATTTTCTTGAATAAATAGGAAAATAAACTATTTCCAAAATGTTGTTCAACGCTTTTTATAACAAAAATAATGTGTTGCATTTGTAACATATTGCATGTCACTTTTTCATAACACATGTCGTATATTATGTTATACTTATGCATCGTTCTTACCCATCCCCTCTAGCAACTACATCTGCCAATGCTAGGTCCACTTTCGCAACAATCACCTTAAATAAATCCATCACACCACAATCACAACCACCAACATAAACCCCAAATCAGAGCGAAAAATATTAGTACCAATAATAAGCATAGCATCAAAAAGAGCCTCCAGAATATGAAGAAAAGAACCACAAATAATTCTAGTATCAAGGATCATGTGCAAAAGCTAATTATTAGTGGATAGATATGTTCCCGATTTTATAGGTGCACGAAATGAACACGTAGGTCTTCTTGAAGGCTTCCTTTGCCGTATACCACGTGAAGGGAGGCGACATGGTGGTATGTGTAATCTGGACTATAAAATTTGAAGCGATCGAAGATGAGATTGCAATAGAGATATTGTCGCGACAACAATCACAGTGAGATCGCCACTGTCAAATCGTGCCAATCTCCACTGGATGGTGGTGATGAAGGTCTGGAAGGTAAATGAAGTTAATTTTGTTTGTACAATAGTTCGAGAATTAATAAGGATGCTTACTACTTTTAGAAACTAGATGAAAAGGAAAAGTGTAACTTCCACAAAAATATTATGATAGTTTTGATACTTGCTCTACTTTTCTTTGAAAAGTTTTCATAGTACCATCATTTCCCAAAAAAACATATCATTATTTTTACTGTAAATCGATATTTTACCAGTTATCACTTATTTCCAATTTTTTAAAAAATACTTTATTTTTCATTTAATATCAATATTTCAAATTTTTATTTTAAAAGCGATATTTTTTTGTCAAAGTTACGTATTGTGTTATCATACGTTACTTCTTATTAAACAATCAATTTCTTATGCAAGTGACATATTATGTTACTTATTATAAAAAACAATGTTTTACAAGATAACGTACTATATTATCATATGTTACGTTGTATTATTACTACAACATCTTATACAAGTAACAAATTATAATACATTATGTTACTTTTTATTAGAAGAGTAATGTTTTACATGGTAATACATTGGGTTACTATATGTTATTTTTATTAAAAAATCGACGTCTAACTGGAATAACATCTTGTGTTACAACATGTTAATTTATATTAAAAATCTATGGTACCATATTTCACCATATGGTATTTGGCCATCACTCGGCCACTACAAAAATCCGCCACCTCTCTATCACCATTTTCCAAATCATCACTAATTCCCAAACCCAATGAGGTACTATTTTCATTCAAATCTAGTAACATGGCATGCTACTTAAAAGTAACATTTCATATTATTTAACACAAATTCATCAAATACTAAAACAAGAAGATAAAAAGCAAATCTCAGGAACATAACTGCTTATTCTTTCTCAATTAGATTAACAAGAATGAAAAAGGAGATATTTCAATGGGAAAAATACATATATAAGGTGTTTAACAAATGCAATTTCATATTTAAGAAACAATGCTTAAACGTTCAAAACTCAGGTGGTAAATAATATATACAATATATAATATATATTAAATTAGATTCTGATTCCTCAAATCAAGCATTCAGTTACACATATTTCCATTTCAAACATGACTCTCCATTTTAACAATTAGGGTTGAACAAAAAGAAAATCTACAGAGAACTTATCGGAGCAAATAACTTCGACTTCTACCATTGAAATCTGATTAATTGAAACCCGACGGACGGAAGAGATCACAAATTGAAAGTTGTTGGCACTGTGTATTAGAATTTTTAAGGTAATGATCACAAACTGAGGTTATAATAGGACTGGTAAATTGAGATTGGTGATCGTCCTAAAGTAGATTTGAAGGGTTTCGAAGTCGTAGTTGGTAGCAAATAACATTGTATCATTGCTAAATCTTCCAATTTTTGAATTTAAAAACAGAGTTGAAACTCTAATTGCAAGTTGCTGTGATAGAAATTGAAAAACTCCATTGGCATGTAAAAGATCTATTGGCCTTGTAAACTGTGAGTTACTATGACGAAAATTGAAAAGATTCATTATTACCTGCAATATTAATCCAATAACATGTGACTAGTTTTCTATGGTATGTGACCTGTTGATATGGATTTGTGACTTATACACTATGATATGTGACCTGTGAACTGTTACATGTGACCTATGACATGTCAAACATTATCTATGATATTGGCCTGTGACCAGTTCTCTTGGAACTATGACATGTGGATATTGATCTGTTACCTATGCAATATGACATGTGACTTGTGAACTGTTATTTGTAACTTCTGACATATGAAATATGGCCTGTGAACTTGAATCTGTAACCAGTTATCAGTACACAAAGACATGTGACATATGATCTATGATCAATTAATTTTGATTTGTAACATGTTGACATTGATTCGTGACCCTTACTATATAACCGTCATCTGTAAACTGTAACATGTGAACATAAATCAGTGATTTATGACCAGTTCTATTTGATTTGCAACCTGTGTATATCGATCTATGATCTATGCACAATGATTTATGACCTATAAACTGGTAACTGTAACCCATAACATATGAACAATGACTTATGAACTTGGATCTGTGACCTTTGACCAGTCAATTTTGAACTGTGACCTATATAATATGACATGACTTGTGATGTGTGACATGTGACCTATGAATGTAATATGTCATCAATGGATATTAATTTGTGACTTATGCACAATGACACGTGAAAATCTCAAAAAGAAAAACTTATTTTTAGTATTGAAAAGATGCAGATAGAAAGGCTTAAAATCAACTCGAATTTAACATTATAAGATATTATTCACTACAAGCATTCTTAATCCCATCAAGAATAATGTCATTATTCTTAGTCGTCCTAACCATCGAATTGACAATGAGATGACATATGTTCGCGAAATATTTCTTCTCGATTTTAAAACCCACCGTAAGTGTACGGTTCGTTAACAAGTAGTAAAATGGACTATGAGTCCAAGTATCGTTCCCACGAGGATTGAATTAGCTCTAATTAGACTAATGTGACCTTAACCAAATCTAATTGAATGAAAATTTGATTTAAATGTGAAAAAACCCTAAAATTGGAAGAAATCCCCAATTTGAAACCCTAATTTTGAAATTTCACTAATCGAATGAAATAAACACGCAATTGAAATGTAATTATGCAATTTTATCACTAATGTATTGAAATGAATAGAAATGAAATCATTAAGAACTTGAATCCCCAATTGACTATTAAAAACC